TACATAGCTGTCCTCGTTTTCAGTGCAATAAAACTTATTCAATTAAGAGAGTTTTGAATAAACTAACTACAGATTACACAACTCTGCCTATTACTTTACCGGAAATCTGTTTTACGCCACGTCTAGTTATCAGGCCGGACGCCAGATGACTCCCACGTGTCTCGTTTCTGTGCAGTTCCGGTGGTACTGACTATCGTATTCCAGCCGGTTTTGATGTGGGCCGGTCTTCCCGTGTAACTATGAATGACGTCTGTTATTCAACCCTTTAAAGCCTAGTGGTAACTACACGTGCCACCTAGTTTAATAATCGGTAACTGTCAATTTTATGGATCTCCTGAAATTTTCACTGCAAACATGGCATGAATTATGGTGCTTGTATTTGTTGGCTTTCTGTATATTTTGAATTCGAAGTTATTTTCGTTTCGTATTATAGTTAGATCTAAATAATTTAATTTGTTATTTTGTTCTTTTTCTAAAGTGAATTGTATATTTTGATTTATGTTGTTAAATTCATTTAAAACATTTTTTATGTCTGTATTTTTTCCATCAAAAATCATGAGTATATCGTCAACATATCTACTATAGTATTTAATTTGATATTTATTTAATATATTTATATATTTGCAGTGAAACGTAAAAAGATATAAGCATTAATAAATTGATCTTGGTAATGATGAGTGTGTTTTCTTTGAGGGACGAGTTGATTCTTAAATATAATTTCGACGAGCTTCGGCATGAGGTCCTGTTTCATCTATGGGCCGGACAACGGTTCCTTATCAACCAAACCCGCGACTTGCATTCTTTCAAAACCCATTGAACAGCCCAGACTTCACGCGAATGAAATGGGCCACATTTCAGGATGTTTAGGATGTGTAAACAGGGTTCAAACCGCTCAGGAACGGCTTCGGTGGTGGGATTCGTTATCAGCTGTGTTGATCTCGAGAGTTATTATTGAGCAGATGAACACAGGAAAATGTTTTCAGATGCATGGGCAGAGCGACTTGTCACGGCAGCTGATCACTTACATTTCTTTTCTTGTAAAACTTTGATACATTGCATGCGTGTAGCGTTTCCCTTCGTCATTTCATGTTTAACTGAAGTTCTAGTAATTTCCCCTGCAGACATTTCGAGAAAAATTTTATCTGTCGTGTGTAGAAGTTGGGTTTTATCGTCTTGGTCACGAAAAATTTTTCGTTTATGTCAAGCGAACACTTCAGATTAATGTGTGAAGTTAGTGTTACATTGATGGACGACGTATTTATTTGCTACTGTTTCTTAGAATTCTGTATACGGCCATTTTATATTTTGTTTAGAGGGACTTTGGACTACAGTTCTTGGTGTTTTATTTTACGATGTGCGCGCGAAATGCATAAAACAAAAAAAAAACTTTTGGCGGCCAGGTACTTCCGGCCGCGTGTTTTGTCCCAGAGATTACTGAAGGATTTCGATGGAATGTTATATTAAGAGTCTATAATTGAAGAGATTGGGCTATTTACCCAGCGAAATTTTGTTCTAAATTCATCAACTATTATTCATACTTTATTTGAAACGATTAAATATTGCCATAATAGCACAATACAAAAACTTCGTGCATGAGAGAATATAGACAGCTATTAATTTAACTTTTTCTGATGTACTGAATATTCAGAAACAGAAAAGCAATTCTGGCTGTGAAATATATATCTATATCTCTAGTATGATCAACTTGGCAATAATAAATGCATAGGATATATGAGTTACTTATTTGAAGATTTCTGTCTTCTGGGCTGTTGCGCTGTGTAGTCTGGTAGATGTTTACCAACGTTTCGGAGGTCCTTGCTGCCTCCGTCATCAGGGAGATGAATCGCCCTGATGACGGAGGCAGTATGACCTCTGAAACGTTGGTAAACATCGACCATACTACACAGCGCAACAACCCAGAAGACAGAAATCTTCATCGCCCTCATGACGGAGGCAGTATGACCTCTGAAACGTTGGTAAACATCGACCATACTACACAGCGCAACAACCCAGAAGACAGAAATCTTCATCGCCCTCATGACGGAGGCAGTATGACCTCTGAAACGTTGGTAAACATCGACCAGACTACATAGCGGAACAAACCAGAAGACAGCAATCTTCCTGAATAAAATCTTTTCGGGCTATCATCCGAGTTAGTTGAATACAACAGGGATCATCTCCGTTCCCGTCATCAAGACAATTGATGTCGACATCACAGTGCAGTCTTAATCAACTGATACGGATGATAGCTCGAGAAGATTTTATTTGTATCAGATCTGACCTACAGACTCCCAGTGTCGCAACAATTTATCCGTCGCCCGTATAACCAGCCAATAGTTTTACCAGCTAAGTTTAGATCCCAAGTATCAGCATTTGTTGTTTCTTATTTGAAACTTTCAGAGCTGACGTCTAACTTGCCGGTACGGACTTTGTGTAAGGTTAACAGAAGGGAGGAATTGTGTGACAGTAGGACTGTCTACGGAGACTGGTACTAGATGTCCCTTCTTCATCAGGGGCGTCGAACTTTGGCGCCGACGCTACTTTTACAAGAGAAATCGATTTAGAGTCGACTCCGAGAACAAATCCTAAGACCAAATTCCTCACTAGCGCTGGGTATTTAGACAGTATGCTAGACACGTGGAGCTTACTTAGTGTTCATCTGCGTGTGCGCAGGCAAAATCATGAAAACTATTTAACTTACTAAACATAAGACTGCATTGAACACTCCCTTCTAAAATATGTGTTCCACATCACATTGCCTGCGAGTCCTTTCTTTTAAATCACTGCAAACTTCACGCATACTTTCCTTGGTAAGTCTGATATACAAACTTAAAGAAATAAATATGTGATGTGAGAAATGAATACCAAATTTTAGTCGGACACCCCAAGGGAAGAAACCAATTGCATGATTAAGGCTCATATGAGAGGATAATATTAAAATTGGTCTTACAAATGGAATACGACGGAGGACCCTAGTGGCGGGTTTCTGTGAACACAGAAATTAACCTTCGAATTTCATAAAATGGGCAAGTGTTTAAACGACGATTGGTTTCTTAGAAAGGTCACCGCTCCATGGTGTTAGTTGAAGTAATAACGCCTGAGTTGTTTAGCTGAATCTTCGCAGTAGGAGCCCCAGTTACATTCTCTATAATCTAGACACAGTTTTTTCCGTACATCGAATGTGATATTAACTACAAATCTCCCCTTAATTAGAATTAATAATAGTTTTAATGTTAATGGTGGCTTCACCATTAACATTAAAACCATTATTAATTCGTTAAGAAAGCGTCACTCCTCTGTGTTTTAGAAGCCCAAGGTACGGACAATGTTGACAGTAATGTTTTATTACATCGCTAGAGGTCTCTTATCCTGGAGTAGTACTTTGCAGGTTAGGCCGTTAAACGAGGTAAGTGGTAAGAGCAACGCGAAGTTTCTACGTACTTATTAAAAGAACCAAGCGATGACAGTCTTATGTGAGTAAAGGGAAATACTGTCTGCATAAGAAGGAATTGTAAAATAATTTAAAATTGATCGGAAATAATATTTAAACTGATTTTAGACGATAGGAACGTGTGGACTGGTTTCAACTGGCTTGCGACAGGGCGCAATAAACGTTGTGTATTTCTGACGCGCGTCAAAGAATAAAGTACTGTACAGAAAGTAAAAAACATCAGCTTTTTGTAGTAACATATCAAAGCGTTATAAAGTTCTATCTGCTATTCTTAAGCTGCTTGTTTCTTTTTCATTTTACAGCATTATGTTATTACTATCTATAAAAAGTATTCTTACATGTCAATGACATACAGTAGGTACGGGTGTCTGAACAGTCCTGAGGCACGGAACCCTCTTTATGACTGTACACGCAGCAGCGGACAACCAAGTAATCATTCAGTGGCTGAGGTAATCAACACCGGTGTTGACATTGATCTCCCAGTTACCATAAGAGGAGTGGTAATGGAATGTCTAAAAATAACTCGCTCGTAAGTTGAAATCAATATGAATGGAAGTAGAAGCCGGGGTTTTGATATATTGAACATCATATGTAAAGGGAAAGACAATTATTGAAACTAAATAACTTCAATTTTGAGAGAAAGGTTTTACACCAACGAACATACCCAGGGGACTGGCAAAATTGTGAACGAAAGTCGTCGTGAATGCAGAAAACTAAGACCGAAACTTTCGGAAAAAAGATGCGATTTGACGTGTGCAGATCCAGACCATTCATTACTGAATATGGATTTTAATCATATGACGTTTTATGAATCCGTTTTTGTAACATCACGACTGGGCTATTGTTGACACTTGCTGAAGCTCTTGGAAGAGTAGTCAGACTTGAAGATGTCATGTTTTCTCCGGAACGCTGGCATCCAGGGTCGAGTCTACAAGGAAAATCAGAAGAAACAACGTCTTAATCATCATAGGCTGCAAATCGGGACCATGATAAAAAAATTAGGTAAAAATAATAATCGAGTAATAACCAGATGATAGAATTAGCAGATCGATTCTGAAGGGTTCTGACGATGGCGTAATAAAATCTGGATCGTTGGAATCTAAAACTTCTTGACGATGGTGAAGAGTCAATTGAATAAAAAATTTCTTGGATATTATCCATCGTCTAGTAAATATAAAACGTAAAACGACGTTTCGGAGATGGGAGCTAATCCTAATATCCAAGAAAATTTTTATTCAACTGGATCGTTGGGTTTGTCCATCGTCTGATGTTATGTGTATTTTATAACATCGGACGATGGACAAAGTCCAAAAACGTAACAATCCAGGCAGAATTAGCAGAGCACGGGATGCAGAGACCATAATTTAGAAAAGGTGGTACAGAGAGAGACGAGGGAAACACAAGCTCATGAAATCAAGTGAGGAAGCCGGAAATCAGATTGGGACAGCAGGTGAGAAAGCCGATGCACGAGGAAAGCAGGTACGGACGATGATTGTGGCGGCGGGGGGTGGGGGGAGGAACGCCGGCAGTCGACACGGGGCGGCGCGGAGTGGCGTGGTATTGAGCTGGGCGGGTATCCTGGTCCGTGCAGCTAACCAGTGTGTCGGGTGCAGGCCGGGTCGTTCGGGCGAAGTGGTGAGATGACGCAGTTAGTGACGACCGAACCGTTGATGATGATGATAATGATGATAATGGTGATGCGGTGCAGTGTCAAGTAGAAAGGGGGCCTTACCATAGGATTAAGCCCTCTTTGTAAACGGCTGAAAGCACGGGGAAAAAATCACAACGCCTCGACGTCGGCGTCGAAGAAGACGGTGCGATTAGAACGAGAGTAGCGACAGTGGAGCGAGCAAGGGGGTTGAGAATCACGAGCGTTCAAGATGGCGCCAGGTGCAAGTCCCAGAAAGGTTAGGCAACCAGCATTACATAATGATCACCCCCAATCACCTCCTCCCGAAAGCCAGGATTTGTGTCTTTAACTGCACTGACAGGCATGTGTAGGGTATAACTTTATTCCTGCATGTGGTTCTTAAACTAAATTTGAATGATTTCCTTAGGCCTATGTTCACATGTTGAGATATGTTCATTGTATTTACATTTTGGATGGGGCGGGGAACACATCTGTGTAAACCACTTTACAAGATGCATTTTGATATCCACCTTTATCATTTTTGTTTGGTTATAGCTACTAATTATTTATTACTCTTGCATCCAGAATGAAAGAAATCAACTTCGTTCCGTTTGCCAGTATAAGGCATTGCCCCATTTTATTGTTATTGAAACGAATACATGCCGTGTAGAATTTACACAAAATAATAAGTGTATTCATATAAACTTTTTTAAATGTTGTGTTTCCTTACGCAATGGTTTTTTTTTTTTGTAATGTTAGAAGGCTGTGTGTTTATTTCGCTAACGGCCCAGTTTCACAGCAACTAAGTTAAATACGAAAAGAAAACTTTGCCAGAGCGATGGATGTAAAAGTAGACAGTAATAAGTGGTTCAAGGGATGGAAGTGGACAGCCCGAGGAATATATTAATACTCCACCGCTAGGGATTTCCAAGATGAGAATTGCGTCATGTGATAACACTTACATTATTCTTAAGTATTTTATGAAACATGAAGTCAGGAATCCCATTATTAACATAGTACAGTGTTAATTTGTATATATGTTTGACAATTAAGCGAGTTTCATGTGTGTTATAAAGATGGATAGGCTACATAATACTACGTCATTAGCACGGTTTGAATAAATTAAAAGAGGATGACCGAGGTAACTTCAATATAAATTCTCTTAGAAACACAGCAAATAGGCCCGCTGAAAACGTTTAAATTTTCGGATGAAAGGTTAGTTCATGCCCTTTGGTTTCAATACATGGAAATTCTCCCCCATTTTGCATCATAATGGCGACCAATGGTGTGTCGTAACCCTGATATGATGGCAAGTCAGTGTCCATACCCATTACAGTTTGATTTTTGTAACTTACTGCCACAGTAACAGTAATCATCAAGATAGTTTACTTCAAACGTAATATAACTTATTGGAATCTTTATTATATCTGTTAACAGAAATTGAATTAATACCTCATGTAGATTTATTGAACTGATAATATGAAATTGTGGTCTTTTGCTTCTGTGTTGCAATGGAAGTTTGGTTTCAGAAATGATCATGCTGTATCTCATGCGGTTAGTAGCTTGCGTCTTACAGTGGTGGCCCGGGTTCGCGCCCAGGGAAATTCATATGGGATTTGTGGTGGACAAGGTGGCAACTTCCAACAATTTCCAGTTACTCAGAAACTTCAAAAGAACTGGCGATAGTGCGACAACAGCAGAATTTGATGGGAGACATTCAAAATTTACTCTCGATAGGTTTTATCGAAAACTAGCTCAATTACTTCTTCATTGCTGCGGATGTATGATAAAAGTATGTGAGTAAGGCAAACTATAGCAAAAGTCTAAGTAGGAAAGGCAATTCTGATACATACAAATGCAGATGTGAGTCACGCGAGGCCCTGGGCAGTTTCTCGGTTCGCTCTCACCCCCCCCCCCACCTCTTTCTCCGCCACTGTCTGTAAACTACATAATGTGACTCTGAAATGGTATCAGTATAATGGGAATAAGCAACTTATTATGAAGAATAGTTTTGTCTATAGTACAGTGGTTATCAACAGCGAAACATAGTGCTCTGATGACATTTATAAAATATCGTACAGTGGTACAATTTGAAGTATGGAATTAGGGCTAAGAAGAGAATAGTAGGGCATTTTTCTGTAACATTTATAATAATTAAATTTGATTATTCCTTATTGAGCTAATAAATTGACAATATTTAAAATTATCAAGTAAGTCTAATTAATAAATAATAATGAATATTCATAATATTTAACTTTTATGTATTTTCGACACATAACATTTTTATTGTTTCCGTAGCTGTTAATCCTTTTGATCCAGGGACGATGTATCGCTCTCAGAAGCAAAGAATTCTAGTTTTTATTATTTTATGTTTTGATCAGTGAAGCGAACGTGGCCCGCCATGTGTTAATAGTTTCAGTAAATTATTAGTTACTGTATTAGACTAAACACGTTTCCATTGATATATCCTAACAGAAGAAGGTTAATTTACATAAATATCCCCCCCCCCCCCCCCCCCTCTTCCCCCGCCACTGTCTGTAAACTACATAATGTGACTCTGAAATGGTATCAGTATAATGGGAATAAGCAACTTATTATGAAGAATAGTTTTGTCTATAGTACAGTGGTTATCAACAGCGAAACATAGTGCTCTGATGACATTTATAAAATATCGTACAGTGGTACAATTTGAAGTATGGAATTAGGGCTAAGAAGAGAATAGTAGGGCATTTTTCTGTAACATTTATAATAATTAAATTTGATTATTCCTTATTGAGCTAATAAATTGACAATATTTAAAATTATCAAGTAAGTCTAATTAATAAATAATAATGAATATTCATAATATTTAACTTTTATGTATTTTCGACACATAACATTTTTATTGTTTCCGTAGCTGTTAATCCTTTTGATCCAGGGACGATGTATCGCTCTCAGAAGCAAAGAATTCTAGTTTTTATTATTTTATGTTTTGATCAGTGAAGCGAACGTGGCCCGCCATGTGTTAATAGTTTCAGTAAATTATTAGTTACTGTATTAGACTAAACACGTTTCCATTGATATATCCTAACAGAAGAAGGTTAATTTACATAAATATCAACATGGAAAGGGTCAAATTATTCAACATAAATATATATGTTAGCATGATTGTGTACCTAATATTGTACATAGATTAATGCCACAGTAACATAAATCAGACAAAAAAATAGACATATGAATTACCATGTATTTATATCAGGAGTTCTAATATAAGGGACCGGAGTGGAAAGTGTTAACGGGTTTGAGAGAACAATACGTTATGACAATTTGCTTCGTTCATTGTTGCTTAAAAATGGTCATATTTGTCTCTGACCACCAGCATTGCATCGTAGCAGTATTGATTTCCTTTTACGTGTATTTTATAATTCGGACGTAACCAAATGTGTGCTAGGGGCCTGGTTAACTACACATTTAGCCGTAAGTGCATCATGTATATTGATCTGTGGTACGATGTTAATATAAATATGTATCTTTCAGGAAATCAGTAATGTAGGTTCCATTTATCGGGCTTTGCAGCTCAGAGCTTTTTAAGTAGAGGTTTTGTTGTTGTGTTTTGTGAAAGTCTAGAATTGTTCTGTGTTGAAATCATTTGTTATTGGAAGGCATTGTTGCTACCAATAAGCAGAGAGGTCATTATTGTAACGAATTGTGCAAGAATGAACATTAGTGAATGAGTGACAAAAGAACATTCTTTGTAACGCAATGTTGCGTGAAGTAGCCCTCGGATGACATTGGTGCAACAACGCCTGTCGAATGTCGGTTTAGTCCAAACAGAGAACGTTCTCAGTCTTGTAGTGTCGTTTCATCTAGGACGAAGCCTCCAAAGAGCTGACATACCTTGAGGTTCTTCTGTTAAAATGTTACATGTATTTCTCATCAGTTTATGCATCCTAAGTGTTCCATCCATCTCATCGTTTATAACTTCAAGTACAGAGGAAAAGCCCAGATATTATATAACGCATACTTATCTCAGAAGTAACCTAATAATATGGAGTAATGGCATCCATGAAATATTCTCTGACGTCAAATGCATATTTTTGCTCCAGCGTCGATGTGACATTGTTCAGAATACTTCGTCCGAGTATTTACTCAGTTCCATATTGTGAGACAGCGTTTCCAGGAAGTATGTGCAAAGAAGTCCGGGAAACCTGAATTTCTTCATCTCCCTGTTTGTGCATTGACATAGAAGGGGAATCCGTGGGAACGAAGAAATTTATGCAGACAAATCTGATTACACTATTAATAGGCTAGCCACTGATCAGTTGCCTTCATTCACGACACATGACATGAAAATGGTAATGTGTGGTTTTCGTAATCGTCATTCTGTTGTTTCACATACCGTATTTTCTCTATTTTAAGGCTCACTTATTTCACGTCCTAGAATTTTCGAACTCCGGGTCTTACATTAGATGGCGTCTAAAAATCGTTACAGCTTATTTTTGTATTCTTCCTGAAAACCTATTGTTAAAAGGACGCATCCCAAAATCGATGGCGTATTGAAATCGAGGAAATTCGATATATCTCGTACTTCCGATAAGCACAACGACTATACAACTTACTTTCTCACGTTACGTATTCCCAATCTCACATTCCTTCAGGTGAAAGCAACTATATAAATATATTTACATATATAAACAATTATTTATTATTATAGTAACTTTCAAATGAACACGGGAGTGGAATGGTGGAAACGAATGTAGCATACAAATCCTCTAAGATTCTATACGATGTAAAATCCCACGAACTTTGATGTTAATTTGTAGTAATTTACGCCTGATGCAGATTTTAACTAATTAGACATAATACATTTAACAGGTAGCCTAAAAGTAAATCTCTGGTGCGTGACTGAACGATACGTCATGCAGACGTGTGGGCGAGTAGAGGTATGTGGCCATGAATTCTTAACCTTGAACTAGATGGAGGTGAGTGGTTAGTGGTTACCTCCAACGAAAGAAATGGTACCAAAATGAACAGGAGGCTGAGTAGGTCTCATGCCGAATACAATAAGATCCTATTTGTTTTGTGATCTGTTAACTATTCACGATATGGAAAAATGGTTTAGACAAAATTTTGTTTTAGTGAGATCTATATTTTGCCACACACCAATTTCTTTGATATAGCTTATGTTTTAATATGACAAGTTTAGATTCAATATTCGTACAAAGTCGAGGCTATTTTAATCCATACCAGCCAGAATTAAATTTACCTAAGAAATTTTGATGCAAGATTAAAATTCTAAATTCTGTCTAAATAAGTTTAGTAATTTCATAATTTTTTTTCCTGGTAACCAGTACGCACCATTTAGCATGGTGTGCATTGGTGGTTAGCAGGATTTACGACCCATCAGTACATGGGTTCGATCAGGACCGCGACATTTAACGCTCCTGCTGTGACATGAATATAAACGAGGAGATTTGTTTTCTCCTGTGTGTGTTTTCTTGGCACATTTTTGTTGTTGTTAAGAATGCATACATGATGGGCATGATTCTTCAGACTTCCGGCATGCGAGTACCGAGGCGGGGTTTCCTATTGCACAGCTCTTATAAAAAATGGAACGCCGTCACGTCAGGAAACAGAATATCTTCGACATCAGACTGCCATATTATAATTGCTGCAGGGAAAGAATAGATTGACGTGTCGTTGGCGTGATATTTAACAAGACTTCCTGGGAAGAACTGAAATGTCGCTTATTCCCTCCAAATGTTTGTATCAGGCTGGTCAAACTTTATCCCCCCCCCGGGTTGGGGGGGGGCAAGAATAATTTTCCCGTTGAACCTAAGGTTCAAGAAATCCCTTCTGATACTATTTTTGGAAAGTAACACCAATTTTCACCATCTTTAGAGATAAACCTCCTTATTCAAGGATGAGAATTTACCACAGTGTATACTCAAATATAAAGTTTTATTAAAATGTGCAATAATTACTATAGAGTTACATATTGATTTAACATTTCTCCTGCAGCAGCTCGTATCTGATGCATTTTTTAACTACAGAACATATATTTTACGGCAGAGTGTTTAAAGCCAATAGGATGCGTGTCACTTTTGCGCCAAGCAGCAGACAGGATAAGAATAACTAAGTAACTAATTAGATTGCTTACCGAACCCGAAGGTTCACCACCGAATTAACCAAAGCCCTCCACCAAACCCTTCCCTGGGCCAACAAAATCCAGTCTCCTTCAACTCCTATCTCTCAGAGATCCCGCCTGACATCCTCCCATCTACGTCTAGGTCTCCCCAGCGGTCTTTTCCCCTCAGGCTTCCCAACCAATACCCGGTGTACACCTCTTGTCCCATCCATGCGCGCTACATGTCCCGCCCATCTCAATCTTCTCGACTTAATCACCCTGGAAATATTGGGGGAGGAGAATAGTATTTTAAGTTCGTCATTATGCAGTCTTCTCCATACCCCATCATCTTCTCTTCTAGGCCCAAATATCCTCATAAACACCCTATTCCCAAACACCTGTATTCTACGTTCCTCCCTCAGAGTGAGAAACCATGTTTCGCACCCATACAAAACAACAGGCAAAATTATTGTTTTGTGTACTTTAATTTTTAGGTTCTTAGAAATCAGACGGGAAAACAAAATATTTTGAACTGAGAAGTAGCAAGCATTTCCGAAATTTAGTCTCCTGCTAACTTCCTCATGAGTATCATTTTGATTTGTTGTTGTTGTTCCCAGATATTTAAATTTTGTAACCCTTTCAAAGGATTTATTAGTCACCCTAAGATAATTCTACCCGCCTGTCTGCTGACGACGAGATACTAACATGTAATTAGTATTTTTCTGAATTTACTTCTATCCCCACCTGTCTACTAGCCTCTAGTAAAACTTCTGCGTTCCTCTTTATTGTATTCATATCGTCCCCCAATAAATTAACATCATCGGCATATGCCAATAGCTGATGTGTCCCATTCAATTACAGATAAGAAAATAAATGAGTTTATAGTAACTGGTAACAAATAACACATAACTTTGTGGTCCTGGTTATAAGTGGTCTCGGGTCACATTTGTTCCCAGGGTTTCCAGTTGGACCACGCTGATCTACATTATAACATTAGCATTAACTAATTATACAATTTATTTTCTCATTTAAGCGCGTAGTTTACTATAGCGTGGTTTTAGACTTGATGAATTTTGTCGGATACAACCTCACAGCTCGCAACATTCCCATTCTGTGATTGTTGACAAATAAAGAATATATCACGTGCACAGCCTTCTCCATTCGTAGTTCAATAACCTTCAGCGAAACCTCGTGATAAATATGGATTCTTCTCAGAAATATTGCACAAATAAAATATTCAGTCTTATTATTGTATAGAATCTCACTGTCTCACATTGGGTTGCGGTAGTGTGACTTCCACCTCTGAAGTTTGCATGACAACAAAGTATTGACAAGAAAATGAAAATCTCAAAGATGGGATGCCCCATATTCACACAATATTCACTCTTAAGTGTTACTAAAGTCTATCAGTTGGGTTCAGACTCATTGTTTTAACGATGCTTGCAGTAGCTCCAACTACATATGTCGGGTGACCACGTGATTAATACATAATTATGTGGAAGGAAGTGTTAGTGACCTAAATTAAGGTACTATCTACGCTTTTTCCTGGAGGATAGCTGGTTTATGACCCGATATTTGAACCCTGAACCTCTCGAATAAAGTATCAGGAGTACTAACGTACTGGGCCGGGACTTAGATCTATTACGGACGGACAGACACACAATTGTATCCTTGTAAAGTAAGGTTAAAAATAGTAATTAATAATGGTAAACACTATCATTTCACACACAGAGAACGGCATTGCCACAAAATGCAGACTGATATTTATTTAATTAAATACGATTCTGAACGGCATAGATTATGTAATATTGAGTGGCAACGTGGTAACTTGAATGATGAACTAGAAAGGATGGAGGAGGAAGTGGTCGTTTCCTGTTTAATTCGGTGTCCCACCATTTGTCTGCAGGGACTGAACAGCCTCAGTAAAGATGGATGACAACTCGGGACGTTTCGAGTGCTGAGCTGAGAGCTGACCTCTCTGTTATGTTCGAGTTGTAATCGATACTGAACCGGTGCTTCCCGTTAACCACTCAGATCGAATTCACGCCAGCAGACGATCGCGGTGGTTGCAGAAATAAGCCTCGGCTTGATCCTGTCAGAAAAATCAGCCATTAAAATGTGTGTGTGTGTGTGTGTGTACAGAAGTACGTTGCGTTCGTACATATCTGTGTGCATGTCTGCGTATTATTATTGATTCGTGAGTGTCCAAATTAATAAATTTCGCTAGTTATTTGTGGCTGTTAACGAAGGCAGTTCCAATACAAATATAATAACTTAAATTGCGAGATTTAAGGTTCTCAGGGCGATGAGTATGAAGACGGTTGCCTTCTGGCATGTTACTGCATGTAATCTGGTAGATATTAACGGTCGTTTCAGAGGAGCTATCTATATCTAGTCAACTAAAATAATTTTCACAGCATGTAACGTACCTCCATGGATGTTTCCAGCGTCATCATCAAATGATGGCACTGATTAGGGCATACTGTAAGAAAGACGAACCCAAATCCGTGGATAAATAATGTCATTTTTATTTGTTTGTGTAATATTATTTAATTAAATCCAGATCACGTCTCGTTGAATCTTGGGTTTCCAGATAATTTGTTTACGAGCTAAAGAACTACCTACCTACCTACCTACCTACCGTTCTATGTGCCCACTTCAATTTGCCTTGCAGTATTATCTTTGCAAGTCACATTGAAAGAGCCAAATTTCTAAAACAGCGTTATAAAATAGCATGATTTAGTATGAAAATATATTCACAGCGACTGGAGCCAGATTTCTGCCGAACGCACTAACACAAAACCAACCGCCTGTCTCCAACGGAGACTGCTAGACCTCATCATGACCTCGTTTATATTTCTGGATACCAGAGTAGCCACCGTCAAAAATTAATTTCAATTTTTGTCCGTTTGCACGAAAAACGCACCCGTCGAATCTTCGGGCGAATGCCATAACAGTGCCAGAAACTGGTTCACTTCCGCTCCCTTCGTCTATCGTCTCTAATTTATTAATTATACAATTATTTCGATATACCGATAACATCGCTAAATAAACCCTTCAAAACACATAAATTTACCAAACTGCCCATTGAGTAGATGGGCACCCAGAAGTTGTCTGGCCGTGGTGGGGAAGACGAAACACTTTCCCTCAGCCGATACTCGAATCCCGGACGTCCATATATAAGCAGTTTACTGACAAAGTTACCGCGGTCTACGTCGTTGCTTTAGACTCTTATAAAAACTTGTTTTAACGTAAAGTGCTCAGTAGCGGCCTTTAATCAAATGAATGAAAATCAGCCTTTGCTTGGCCGATGTTTGACCCAGAGACTAAAATATAAGCAAACTGACCATCGCATCGGAAATGTACTTTACCAACAAACAAGGGAGCAGCAGTTACGTGCGAAGGCGTTATTTTATAATTCAAGAGCTAATGGCTATTTTTGGAAACTGAATACCAGTTTAATTTTACTCTTTTCACAGAATAGCAACGTGATTGCTTTAAATTTGTTTATGAAGGACGTGTATTTGTTATATTTTTACAAGTCTACGTATACACCTATTTCTTAGTAATGAAGAATGTGTTGGTCTTCTGGGTTGTAACGCCCTGTGGACTTGTGGGTAGATACAACATTTTCGGAGGAACATACTACCTCAATCTTTTAGTGTTACCTTCAGTACTGTGAGAATCTCAAGTCTTATACGATGTAGACTTAATTATTTTCGTAAAAGTGTTTGTTCGAATCTGGGCAGAGTACCAGGTACCTTTTTTATCTACCATGCCATCTGCGTGCGTCACAAATTGAATCCTATTCTTAGTTCAACAACCCTAGTCATATTCTCTGTTACAAATTATAAAATGATGATGCCTTCATAATGAGTTTTCTGCAGGCTGTTGTTATATTATCTTTCATAGGTTCACGTAGTCTATCCAGCCCACTCACAGCCCACTCAATGTTCTTCCTTACGCCCATACTGAACAACAGGAAGTTTAGTTGGCACAAACCTATTCTGAAATTTGTTCATGTAAGAGAAGCTCAGAAGCTGGGCTTGCTGGATGTTACATAATATACTTTAGTACGACCGCATTCCCGCTGAAGTCTTGATCAAGTGGTTAGCATTGTTTCGTACTGCCGATGTCCCGGATTCAAAAACCTGGTACGGAGACCGGCTCTCCCGACTGAGGTTTCTTTGTGGTTTTCCTCAGTTCATTTAGGCAAATGCTGGGATCGTACCTGAAGTTATATCAAGAGCGCTTCGTTACCAATTCTTTGTTCACTATCATTCTCTCATTCGACGCTATGTAACAGTCTGAGATACTGAAAGTGTTGTTAAATAGTCTATAAATAAATAAACTGAAGTGTGTCTAAACAGAATGTGGCCCATTTCAATTTACTCTTGATTTCGTTACTGTAGCAATGAGGCATATTGGATGGTTGGAATCAATAGAACATGTTTTATTTAATTTGGTTTGGATGAGTCACATTCTATTTCTGTCTGAAGGGTGTTCGACCAGGTTACTTGTACGATTTATACTGAGAAGACTCATGTTGCTGTAACATATTATTTGGAAGGTAACCGAGTCAAATCTCAGCCTTTAATGTTTTGCTTTTTGATGTTTTCCTCAGACTGTACAGGCAAATTCTGGGAATTTGTATACGACAGTGCCACCCCCTTATAAATCTGCTTAACTTTTGCGAACTAAACTTAGACGTTCTGTGACGAGCGTGTCAATGAATCTGTTTAGATATTTTATAAACTTCATAAACTATTTTGAGATTCACCTACGTCCATCTGCCACTACTCGGTCTTACTTAATTTGCAGTTACAAACCTTTAATTTTGTTTTGTGGGTGATAATTACAATAAACGAGACTAGATGTCACTTTATGAAATTATAAAAGTTTAAAATTGTACTTCTTGTTTAGAAAGCAACCTTATGTTATGAACCTTGGGCTTCCGTAAAAGACGTACAATTAATTGAATAGCAGAGCGACCGATAGTTGCGAAAGACTGTTCCATGGAGTACGTTTCGTGATTTATTTTGTTAGTTTGTATGTGACTGGCTGAGATTTGCAAGGGAATTAGTGAAGGAATAATTGAGGGAAGTTGGGATGGAAATAAAAATGAACAATTTTATATTTATTTCATGAATGGGACATATGCAGTATACATATTATTCTCTTGTACCATTTGCATTCCAGTAGAAATCTAAATCTGAATGGGCTTGGTAATTATTCCGATATTAATCCTCTGTGACGAGACATATGACTGTCATGTGACTGGTGACGGTCCAATCAGAACCGCTGAAATTCCTGTTGTGAGGGAGGTCGCTGCAGTCACCATTTGTCTCATACAAAGATATAGTGGAAGGTAGTGACTAGAGCCAGGTCATGTCTGTTGATGGGAAAAGAAGAGTGTGTAATAATCTGTAATCACCTCCTTATCACGAACCAGATAAAGAAAACAAAATTAGCCCATTAACACTCAGCCTCTCATGTTATTCACGTATGGAGTAGGACAACCGTTGGGCGGTCTGAATGTTTGCTTTTACGAATAACAGTGTTCTTATTTAATTAAAAATTAAACAAAAGTGCGATAAATACCACAAGTTTGCCTCTTGTTTTATATGGGTAGAAACTTCATTTCTCCCCCTAACGGAGAACACAGAGGTTGTCCATAAGTAATTTTTTAAACTCTAGCCATCACCAAAATTTGCATTTTTATTTTATTTTTTTGAAATGACCGTCATGTTGGGTTTACTGTTTATGAAGGAAGTACTGCCTCCATCTTCAGAGATCAGTAAATAATAATAATATGAAATTCTTGAGACTAATTTATGTAGTTACTTATTATTAGGTCTATTCTTCCAACAGATTGTCACGTGGTATAAAGAATTTGTCTTCCATCACGTGGTGGGCGGATAGGCTATTCAGCACGATGACGTGACTTAATTCCCACATGAATGTTACGCGAGATTAATAAATTTGTTAATAATCGTATCATTCCTCCCACACATTTCATGTAGATGAAACAAATTTACGACATAAATACGTGGGCTGAAATTCGCACGATGCCTGGCATTTTCGTCAATCAAGTATCGTGTCTAGAAAATTGTTATTCATCTGGTCTTTTGCAGATGTTAACCACTGTGACTGTTATGTGTTTGTTTGCTTTCCTATCTCTAACCACGGAGCAGCGCTTTTCTTGACAATATGACAGCGCTCATCTAGTAAAAAAAAATCCTTCATTTTATCGAACTTAGAGGTTTATTACTATGTTTATCAAAGCCTGCCACATCCCTGTCCTAAGCGAGACGAATTCATTCGACACTTTTTGGTTACATTTCAATGTTATCTTTGGTCCATCATTTAATGTATTAAGCTTAAACTTTTGTGTGCATTTCTCATCTCTTATTTCTGCTGTATGAGTGGCCCATCTGACCCTTACGATTTCCATCACTATAATCATAATCTGGCGAAGAGTAATTAAACATCTACAAGGTATCCTTCTCAGCGGAAGAAACAGTGGCACTTTTAAATGGTTTGTCTGTGCGTTTATAAGATCTTTGCGGTTACGCATTCATCGGCAGTCAGCGTCAGCGGATTTGGAGTGGAGAGTCTGTGACGATGTAGCATCTTTGGCCATTTTTTAGCAATGAATGGAAGGTCGATATGATCCGTACACGCATCGCCCTCTCTGGGTCTCCAGCCGCACTTCAGATATCCAAGTTCACTTCAAATTTACCGCATACCGAAACTTGTCACCAAATTTAATGGCTCAAACAACTTTTTTTTCTTCTTTCAAATATCGTATTTCAAATGAGAACGCAGGAACTACAAATCGATTACAGTAAACATCAGGTACAGGTATTATGTGCACACACGATCATGAAGTTTTATACATTTATTGTAAAAACCAACTTCCGCTGTGCTGAGTTCGACTGTCTGATCAATTCCTGGTACGTTTACTGTCACCTGCAATTTTTATCATCTTTGAATCATAGTATTTGGTATTCGCTGCTTGATCGTGAGTAGAAGTTGCCGAACTTTCATTTTCTCCTTTTGTAAGCCGAAGAATCGTGTTCTTTCCGTCGATGTTCTGCCTCCAAGCTTCTAGTGTGCTCTCCATGCATTATCATATTCCCCATTTCCCCTTTATTCCTTTTGCCACCTCTTACACAGTCCTATTCTTATCTCCATTTTCGTACTTTCTTTCATTCACCTTCTGCATTCCAGTCTACACGAGGTTTTGTTCGTATTTGGATTAGAGAATGTATTTTAGATGTATTATTGTTATTATAAAGTTCGTAAACTGTTACGATTGCATATGTTTTCCTTACGAAACTCTGTCGAGCCGAGGTGGGTCTTTCTTTGTTATTTTCTATCTGAAGTGGCGTTACTTATTTAACCAATTTTAACTCTTCTCATTCTCACGCACAGAAAACAGGAGGGGAGAAACTTGTTAACATACGTATTTTAGTTAGGTAATACGGGTTCATGGGTTCATGCTAGATTAAACAGCATTTTATGTCATTTTCTTATACAACCCGTCTCCCTGAACGCATTAAAATATTTAATGCAC